ATCGTGCCGACGAGCTTGGAGCTGCGTGTCAGGCGACTTCAGTGGTACCAGGCGATGGCGCGGAACCCGCACCACCATCGGCAGGCGATTGCGAGTCTGTTCGGCCAGATGCGGTGCGAGGAGGACCCCACCGTCAACGAGCAGGGCACAATCACATCAGATGCCAATCCATGGGCGAAGCAGTTTTGGGAAGACATTGCCGCGCTCGACTGCTTAGACGAGGGCCAGCAGCTCCGCGAGGTGATTGGCGACTCTGTGCTCGCAATTTTCGAGGAGGAGGGGAGGGAGATCTTCCTAGCTATTGACATGAAGCAGTTGCGTGCCACCCGCGCCACCGTGGCGATCCCCCCTCCAGAGCATCGAAGCCAAAAATCTGACAATGGCCCCGGGCTCGGGCCGGAGGAGGGGGCTGAATTGCCAGTGCGGTGCCCTGCTGTTCTCGACGATGGCAGCCCCTGCCCAGCGAGGTTCGCTACAGTAGGAGCCATGCTACGCCATCTGGGATGGGAGGGGCAAGGGGGCAATCATGGGTTGCGAGATCTCGCCAGACGTGTCACAAAATGGAATCAATGCGTTCTCTGCTCATCCACGTTCAGCTCCACAGCAGTGGCGGCCCAGCATCTCCAGAGGGCCCTAGTAACGCATTGTTGCCAGGCCGACCGTGCCCGGGTCCACTTCGAACCCTGGTTGCCATCGTCATACGTCTGCCCGCTGTGTTACCAGGATCAAGAGAACGAGCATTGGTACCGATATCATATACAGACACATCTTACCGCACTCCTCACAGATCACAATGTCACTTTCGAGCTTGCCGGGGAGCTGGAGGAAGCAGGCCCTCGCAGGCGCCAGCCACTCGGCGCCCAAGGCCCCGAGGACCGACGTCGCGGGGAAGGCGCCAGCAGCCGGGGGCAAGGCGTCCGCGGCCGGGGGCAAGGCGCCCGCGGCCGGGGGCAAGGCCCCCGCGGCCGGGGGCGGACCGGCAGCAGCGGCCTCCCAGGCGCCCGCGGCCGCGGCCAAGCCACCTGCAGCCGCGCCACCGCCGGCCAGACCAGTGCGCCAGCAGCGCATGGAGGTGGACGAGGAGGAGGCCGGCTCACTGGGGCAACGGCTGCTGGTGCAGCTCGAGTCGCGCGTGCGTACATTGGAGAGCATCGTTACCTTGTGTTTCCTCCTGAACAAGACCGCTCCGGTAGTGGTAGCCATGAAGACGGCCCTCGAGGAGTACAACAAGGAGGTCGAGGGCATGGACGACCCGAGCAGGCACCACAGCCCCCACCTGGACGTGGCCGCGGCCCTCCTGGAGTTCTTCGCGGAGGGCGAGGTGCCGGGCGGGCTCGACGCGGCCGGGCAGGCGCGATGCTACGCCCTCCGGAGGCTTCAGGCGATGATGCACATCGGCCCGGCACATCAGTTCGCCGAGTGGTGCAAGCTCGCGCTGTGCTTGCCCACGTTCACGCCGCCGGGCAAGGAGGAGAAAGTGCGCTTGATCATAGCGTTCGAGGGCAGCGTGGAGGTTTGCTACGAGCCGCAGGCGGAGATGGAGCACACGAGCAAGATCCTGGAGGCAACGCGGCACTACCTCAGCGCGGAGGGGGAGGCCCAGCAGCAGAGCATCAAGGAGCTGGTGAAGCTCACGCCGCTGAGCCCGCTCGAACTCGCGCCGGGGCTGTCCCCGCCGCCGGCGCGCCTGGTGCAGGTCAACAGTCTCCTCTCTACGGCGCTGGTGGCGCACGGAGCAGCCTTCCGCAGTGGGAGGGCGCCTGTGGGCAACCTCGCCTACAAGATTGGGAAGAAGCGAGGCCGCCGAGGAGGAGGAGGCCGTAAGTGAGGGAGGGAGCCCGCCGCTGGGGCCAGCTCCAGGGCGCGGTAGGAGCTCCTGCCATGCGCACAGGCCGCACTCGGACTTGTATAGGGGCTGAGTTCGGAGAGCGGGGCCTGTCCTGGCGGGGGGAAGCACAAAGCACGTAGCTGTGAGCGCCGGACGGTTTACATATACAGGCATAGAGCACGCATGCCACTACATATCGAAGCCATTCCTGGCAATTTGGCTGCACTTTTTCCACACACACGCGCTAATCGAGGACCGTCCGAAGGCGAGAGCCAGAGCCTCCTCCTCCTCATCCTCCGTTTCCTCCTCAGCCAACTCCTCATCCTCCTGTTGATGACGATGCATTCGTTCAGGCACCGGAGCGGAGCATGAAGGTAGCGAGCATGCTGGCAAAATGAGCAGCAGCTCTGTGAGATACCATTTGGACAGAACTCGGACGCAGGGTCGCAGATAGAAAGTCTGCCATCCTAGCCAACACACCAGCGCTCACAAAAATGATCGTCTGAACTTTCGGGATGTATGCAGGCCCGAAGCTGGCGAACGAGCTAGCCGCAAACGAATCTGGGCAGCACAGTCTACACAAACGGAGTACTGAGGAGAAGGACTGGCAATAGAAGAACTCTAAGATCTCGATTGGCCAACCTCCAGAGCAGGAACAAGAAGTCCTGTGCCCGACGTAGGGCAGGCGCAGACATGAAAAATGTGTGTGCCGCAGAGCTGCAGGCTGTCGGGCTCTGTGAGGCAGACATTCTCGGGCTCAATCCCCTGGAACTTGACCAGGCGGAGACGCAGTCCCTTAGTGACTACCTACCAGACCACCCCAACCCAACCCGAAGACCCGAATTTCGGGTTGGGGGGGGTAAGGGTTCCACGCGTGTTTTTTCGATGTTCCCCGACCCCCCCCCCCACTGGAAATCGACGGTAAATTTGAGCCTTCGGGTTGGGTTGGGGTGGTTTGGTGGGTGGTGATTAGGGTTGCGGGCAGCCAATCCCAGGGCAGATCCAAAAGTCTTTCCGCGCACTTCTCGGACGACCCTCTGTGGAAGCAAACCGTGGCCACATTTCTCTAGGGCTCCCAACTTCGCGCTTCGCGCTCCGCGAAGCGCGAAGCGCGAATAACTTCGCGCCCTCGCGCCGCCCCCCCAAAGGGAGAAAAGGAGGACGAGGAGGAGGGGGAGAAGGAACGAGGACCGCGAAGCGCGAAGCGCGAATAACTTCGCGCCCTCATGGGAGCCCTTGTTTCTGCAGTGGTCCACCATGGCGTGGAAGAGCCACACGGATACAGGGATGCAAAGGGAATGGCCCATCCCAAAATAGAGCGGTTTCGTGCAGGGCATCGTCGCCAAGCTACCGAACAAGTGGGGTCGGACTCGAGGCCCGTTTGAAGAAGTAGAAGCTCTATCTCTTCGTAGGGTGCGGTGGTGTTTCTCCTCGCCGCTTGCCGTAATCACCGACACGGAAAATAATCAAAACCTTACAGGCACCTCCACTCCGATAATTCAGAAACTTATGAGAGACAATTGGAATAGGAACCGAATAGCTGAGAGTTGCAAGAAAGTGGGAATACCAGATGACGATCCAGGCGGTTGCTCGAAAGTTCTGCACGACAAGGACACCCATCCGACTTACAACAAGAACGCTTGAAACGTCCAGCTTTCCGAATGGCGGTGAGTGTTTGCTAACGTACGCTCGCTGTGGCGCCACGCATGTTTATTGACGCTTCTTCCAGATACATTAACGGGGGGCGATTCAATTCCAAACACGTTGTCATGTGTAACGTTACGCCGTCGAATATTGATGTGATCGTCGACCTCCGTTTCAAAACATTATCCGGGCGAAGAACTCATCCATACGCAGTTGTGAGTAGCGCGGTTGTTAGAATCCTTTTCGGAGGAGCCGATTCGGGGGCCACAAAATGTGTGAGTGGTGTATCGAAATGCGTGCAGTGCCACAATGCAAAAGCAGCCACTAAGGCCTTCTGTTGAGCTCCCTATGGGGGCACGACAAGTGTGAGGAGTGTGTCGAAGTGGGCGCGGTGCTGCTATGCGAACGCAACCACCGGGGCCGTCGGTGGAGCTTCCAATGGGGCCACTAGACGCGTGAGGGGTGTGCCAAAATTGGTGCGGTGCTGCCGTGCGAACGTCGCCACTGCGGGGCCCTCGCGAGAGTTCCCTATGGTGCCACGAGACGTGTGGTGCCATCATGCGAACGCAGCCACCGTGGCCTTCGGTGGAGCTCACGATGGGGCCACGCAGCCTATGAGGGGTGTGCCGAAGTGGGTGCGATGACGCGATGCGGGCGCAACCAATGGGCCCTCAGTAAAGCTCCCTGCGGGGCCACGAAACGTGTGAGTGGTGTGCCGAAATGCGAGTGGTACCGCCGTGCGAACGCAGCCACTGTGGCATTCGGTTGCGATCCCTAAACGTGTGAGGGGTGTGCCGAAATTGCTGCGGTGCTGCCGTGCGAACGTCGCCACTGCGGGGCCCTCGCGAGAGCTCCCTATGGTGCCACGAGACGTGCAAGGGCTGTGTCAAAGTGGGTGCGGTGCCACCATGCGAGCGCAGTAACTGGGGCATTCGGTGGAGCTTCCTCTGGGGCCGCGAGACGCGTGAGGAGTGCGGTCAACTGGGTAAGATGCCGCCATGCGCACGCAACCAATGGGACCCTCGGTGGAGCTCCCTGTGGGCCATGAAACGTGTGAGGGATGTGCCGAAAGTGGTGCGGTGCTACCGTGCGAACGTCGCAACTGTGGGGCCCTTACTCGAGCTCCTCATGGGGCCGCGAAACGCAGGAGGGGCGTACCGAACAACGCGCGGCGCCGCAGTGCGAAAGCAGCCACTGGGGCCTCCTGTGGAGCTCCCTGGGGGGGGGGCACGACACGCATGAGGGGTGTGTCGAAGTGGGCGCGGTGCTGCCATGCGCCCGCAGCCACGAGGGCCTTCGACGCAGAGATCCCTGCGGGGCCGCGAGGAGTGCGAAGGACTGGCCGCAAGGGGGTGGACGGAGTCTGGGAAGAGAGGAGGGTAGTACCCACACTGTTCAAATGTGGAGGACAGGAGAGGAGAGAAGAGGAGAGGACAGGAGGAGAGGGAACGCGGGACGTTGTCTCCTAAAAACGAGGACCCCCCGCCACAAAATGACTGGGAAAACGAAAGATTATCACCGTACCAGC